TTCGACGGGTTAAAGGTCGGCGTGTGCACGACACTGACGGTGGTGGGGGCGGCGCGCCAGGGGCGGACTGCGCCGTCGGCGCAGCCCTTCTGGACCAGGAAGGCGGCGGCCAAGATCAGGCCGACGATGCACATGTTGACATGGCAGCAAGTTCGAATGAGCAGCGCAAGAGGATGGCTAAGAGCATGTCGAAGGGCCTTGAGTGTCTTGACCACGTCTCGCCACGGCCCCACACAGCGACGCTGTTGTTGCGGAACGTCCTCCGCCCACTACAAGTTATGCTCGATGCCCACGGCAGGCTGAGTTCTTCGAAGTGGGAACGGCAGCAGGAGGCATATGCGGCGAAGGCTGCGCTGGAGAGTAGAGGCGGTGATGGCATGCTGAGGCGGGACATTCGAGTGCTGGTGGCCGCTCGAGGTGATTTGGAGAATTCTTTATTCCAGAAGTTTTGGGCGCTCTTGTTCGACGCCCGCGTGCGGCTGCTTCTCTTGCCCGATGGGGGTTAACAACAAGACTCGCGCGACGGCCTTCCTCATGATCCAGAGGGCGGCAGGTGCAGTGAAGAGGCTGATCGCGCGCCCCCGCAGGCTCCCGCCCTTCAGCAATTTCCTGTCGCTGCACCAGCCTGAATTGGCACCGTCGATCCTGGGCCAGCCTGAATGCGTGAAGGACGAGTGGACGAAGCAGTTCCATCAATCGCATCCAGACTTGAGCGTGCCAGAAGCCATGGTTGCATTGGTCGCTCGCGCCCTGGTCGCCTTCACCAGCATTATACCACGCGAGGACTACCGCGCGCGCGTTCGGAGGGCGGCGAACACGAGAGTCCAGACCGATCCCATTGTTGTGACAACGTTGGGGGAGCAACTAGTCAACTCTCATTTTCGTCGTGATGCGCCTGAGCCCGCAGCCGATCAAGCTGGCAGCGGTTGCAGTGCCCAGGAGTCCACCTTTGGCGTTGACGGCGGGGGCAGACAGCCTGGCCCTTCTGGAGGTCCATGGAGGCTCTTCGTCAGGAGAATGCGCAATGACGACCTTCGGACCGTTGCTGAACAATACCGTGCTTCGAAGGCCGACCCCGAGAGCGATGAGTTCCAGGACCTTCTGCAAGAGGGCGCCGAAGCAACCGAGCGAGCAAGCAATGGCGAATTAGCTTTTGGAGCTTCTTTGAAGGACAGCGCAAGGCGAAACATGACTAGGGTGGCTTTGTCATACGCCGAGGAGTTGTCGGAGGATGGGGGCCGCGTTAACTCTCGGCTGGAAGAGGTGTGCTTGGCCATGGGCGCCCTTGAGTCCGCCAATAAGGTACTGGGCGCAATGCGGCGCCACTCGAACGCAGCAGAGCGCCAGGCCGAGCGTGCTGGTCAAGCCGCAGTTGCCAGGTACGCGAAGGAGTTCGCCGATGTTGTCACTGCAGACATTGATCGTGCCCCCCTTGTTTGAGCGGCACTCCTGGGACCTTTGCTGCACGAGCGCTCGCGGGGGGGGGGGGGGCGCGCGCGTATTCTCGAGACCAACCCAGCGGCAATTAGAGACGCTGCTGCGCACGTCTTCCAGCATCGGAAAGACGCAGGCCAGAAGACCAACTTTGGCGCAGTAGGGCAGAAGTTCTGGGACCGCCTTCATCGGCTCATCGGCGAAGCAGAGCCCATGGGGCCGACTGCGTCATCAGATAGAGAGGCACCGTCCATATGTGAAAAGGCTGGCATCTGCTTGCACGCCAGGGCGGGCCAGGAGTTGTTCAGGTTGCGGAACACGCTGCTGAGGTCTATGGGGGAGGAGTTCCCAGTTAGGGAACCTGTCAAGCGTGGCCTTTTGAAGGAGGGACACACTGTAATCCGCCTGATGCACGTGCCCGGCGTGGAAGACGAGGACGAGCATATTGCTTTGTCTGATCTCTGGGGCTTGAGGCCGCGACGGTTCCATATCTGCGACATGTCGCTGAACCCTTATGAGCCCACGTTCTCGGAGCTCGTTGAGCCGAACGAGGAGGAGCGCGTCGCCGCCGCCCCCCTGGCAGACGAGGTGGCGCTGATGGCAGCTGCATAGGGGAACGATTTGCAATTTGACGGGGCGGCGCTGGCGGGCCCTACCCCACCTCCCCCTTGAACAAAAAAACGATCCTCAACATCGATGTAGATTGCGCATGCACAGCGTAACACCAACTCAGTGGGAAAGAAAGCCTTGGCGCACGCATGTTCATCAGCATAAAGCCAACCACGTTTGGGCCTGCCAGCTTCCCCTTCACGGAAAACTTGAAGCTGCCCCCGTCTGTTTTGAGAGTCGTTCGGCCTATGGCCATGCCCAGGCGACAGGGACATGGTCTGAACACTACGACTGCATTGCTTCGTGGGATCGGAAGGTGAGGCTCGAGCTGGACTTCTTCAGGATCTGCATGCATGAGCGTCGTCTCGGAATGCTGCTACCTGCTCTCGTTCTGGTGACGAGGTTGCCACATTCCAGCGCTTACAAGCTCTGGCCACTTGCGGCACGTGGCGGAGGGCGCGAAGGGCGCGGAGGGCGGGGGGCTCGCGGCGGTTGGGCATTCCCTGCTCGCCGCGGTGCTGGGCGCGGTCGCCGAGGTGGTCGAGGTCGGGGTCGCCATGGTGCAGATGACGGCCCAGCTGCAGATGGTGGCCCAGCTGCAGGTGGTGGCCCAGCTGCAGCCGATGGCCCAGCTGCAGATTGGCCAGAGGACGTCCCTGGTTCCCCAGCGGACGGCTACGGCGTCGCGCTGGACCTTGAGCACGACGAGGGCTGCGCAGAGCCCGTCGCGTCCGATCCCGAGGTCGGGGGTCCCGTGGCGGATCCAATCGAGGAGCTCTTGGACAGTCGGCACTGAAAATCGACGGGTGGGGTGGGGTGCGGGAGGGCAGGTGATTTTGAAAAGGTGGTCCGCTCCTCCTTTACTGCCTCCCTCGCTTTCTGCCCCCTTCAGCTCTTGCCTCCACCTCCGCTCCTGGCTCTGCCTTTCGCCGCCACTTCAACTCTGCCTCGCTCCCTCGCCTGAGCGCCCCTTTGGCCCTGCCCCTGCTATAGCCCTCAACCTTCCTAATCAGGCCCGCCCGCTAACCAGTGCTTCGTTCCTTGCCTGCCCCCCGCTCCCCGCCGTTTCTCCCGGGCCACCCGCGCCGCCGCCAGGGCGAGGTGGTGGGCGTGGCCTACGGCGACGGCGTCGGCGGGCCAGTGGGCCCAGGCGCCGACGATTTCGACGGGGTCCACGACCCCGCGCGGGGGGGGGTCGGACGACGGCGGCATGGCCGACCTGTTCGCCGACGAGCCTGAGGCACCGCCCCCTCCACCTGGGCCTGAGCCGCCTCCCGCGCCGCACCCGGCGCCAGAGGCAGCGATTGCTCCGCCCCCTCCACATCCGCCGCCAGGCGGCCCAGGTGGGGTGATCGCACGTGATGGCGAGGTGATTGTGTTTTTTTTTCCCCGGACTTGCCCGAGGCCAGGCTTTCTTATTATGCAAAGAGCCGTGCGTTCGAGGCCACATGCGGCAGTGGCGATTGTAACCACGGGGCCAGATGCAGGTCGCCTCGAGTTGGGGAGACAGCTGAGCTTAACATTTTGCGCCCTCAAAGGGGGCGCCCCGCAGCCTTTATGCATGCTTGGGTCGTTCACGGCCAGATGAGCGATCACCACTTGAAGTTTGAGCCGACTCTTGCGCAGCGCAAGGCTGCTGGAGAGATCCTGAAAGCCTCCCGCATTGGGAGGTTGTTCCCAGAAAACGCGCGTCCAAAAGCGAACGCAGGCGATGAGTCCGAGCGCGATTCTCCGCCCTATGAGCGCACGGCAAAACAAGAGAAACAGTGGGGTGATGATGATGATGAGGAGGAGGAGGAGAGATGGAGTGGGTTGAGAGAGAGAGAGAGAGAGAGAGAGAAACAGAGAGAGAGAGAGAAAAAACAAAAAACAACGAGAGAGGGATACATATATATATACATAGAGAGAGAGGGGTGGGCAGAGAGGAAAGGTGAGAGGAATGAGAAGGGGGGTCGTGTCATCCAAGTTTTTCCTGAAGACCTCTCGGTCAGTCTCTGGGCGAACATTAAAGACAGCTGGTGGGCTCTCATGGGGCCCCCTGGTGGCCATGATTTATTTTATTGTGTAATGGTTTTCTTGGTGTTGGGCGCTGCAGCGTTTCAACGGACATTCACTTACTCTATTACAGCTTGTTCTCGTCACTCCAGGGTGCACTTTGAAAAGTCAAATATCACCCCGCGGACTTGGCATTGATTCCCATTGTGTGTGTGGGGGGGGGGGGGGGGGCTGCCGAACTTTGCATGTTTGGGGCAGTGGGTCAGGGGGCTCTCGGAACTGCGGGGGCCCTCGGGCCAGCCTTTCGGGGCCTTGTTGGGCTCTCTCTTGGCCTCGGTGGAGGCTGCAAACCTTTGCTGCAAGGCGTGCGCCCATGGTCTGGAGCCCCAGCCCGCGACCCAAGCACGGCAGATGGAGGGCCGCCGCGGCATCTGGACACACGCCAAGCGCGGTGCCAAGACCCCTCCCCGACATTTCGTGCACGGGGGGCTCCGCGCCATAAGGTAGGGGTGACTAAGGCAGGGGTGACATTTTGGCGGAGAAGGGGGGCGGACGGCCGACATTTTGAAAACATTTGAAATTGTTACCAACATGTTTTCATAATGTACCCCCGGCAAAATGTCATGGTCTCCCCCGTGCCAAAATGTCCCCCGCTCGATGGGGGGTGCTGTCAAAATGCCACCCCTCCCGTTCTGGCCTGCAGCACTTGGCCCAAACGAGGGGGGCGGCGGAGGGCGCGGGGGGTGATTCGGCGCACCCCTCGCGCGGATCGCACCCCTCACTCTGGGAAGTTCGAGCTGTCTGCTTCGAGGCGGCGCCTCCTCAACCCCCGAGGCCCGTCGCTGGCCCCGAGGCTGGCCACGAGACTGCAAGGCCATTGGTTCCGTAGCTGTCTTTGGCCCAATGGTTCTAGCATCGCGCCGCCGTCGACGGCGCGTCGGCTTCGCAAGGTCTCTGATCAGATGTCGCCCGCCTTGTCGCGCGACGCGCTGAAGGCCAAGCTCCGTGCCAAGGCTAAGGCGGCAAAGGGGCTTCAGAGGGGTCGGAACCGCATGTTGGATCGCATCATCTTCGAGGCTGACACGATGGATGACCTCGGGGCGGAGAACCGCTACCTCAAGATTCAACTCGTATATATATATCCTCAACCCCCGAGGCCCGTCGCTGGCCCCGAGGCTGGCCACGAGACTGCAAGGCCATTGGTTCCGTAGCTGTCTTTGGCCCAATGGTTCTAGCATCGCGCCGCCGTCGACGGCGCGTCGGCTTCGCAAGGTCTCTGATCAGATGTCGCCCGCCTTGTCGCGCGACGCGCTGAAGGCCAAGCTCCGTGCCAAGGCTAAGGCGGCAAAGGGGCTTCAGAGGGGTCGGAACCGCATGTTGGATCGCATCATCTTCGAGGCTGACACGATGGATGACCTCGGGGCGGAGAACCGCTACCTCAAGATTCAACTCGTATATATATATATATATATCAAGCTCATGCGCTTCAATCAGGAGAACGCCAAGCTACAGACAGCGGCCGATAAGCAGGCGGCCAAGGAGACTGAGTTGAAGAAGAAGAGGAATGCCGCTGAGTCGAAAGTGAAGAGCCTGCTCGCGGCGAAGGCGAAGGGCAAGGGCACCAAGCCCCAGGGGCCCGCCACCGTGAAGGGGCACGCCAAGGGGACGCAGCCGAAGGGCGCGAAGCGCACCGAGACAGTTTCGATGGCGCCTAAGGACCCGCACGAGCTCCGCCGCATGATGGCCCGCATCAGTTCGCCTACCTTGCCGAAGTACAGCATCGCACGTGAGCAGGGCTCGCTGATCGAGGCGGATTCGGGTGGCACAGTGCACTCCGTCGAGACCAATGTGGGCAAGCGCCGTGGCGAGTGCCTGAAGTACCCGTAGCTTCAGAGTTCGAGCGTTCGGCTTTAGGACAGGAGCTGCTGGGAATAGAGATGAGCGAGGAAGAGGAATGTTGGGAGGGGATCCCTAGCTAGCTGTGAAGTTCTTCGATGTCTCCATGTCCGCAGATGGATTGAGATTCTATGTCCGCGATTGCCGTCGTCATAGGCCGGCCCGTTCCGTAGTGCCCCATAGTCGGGGGGCGGAGTGTTCCAGAGGGTAAGTTTCTGCGACAAAAGAAAGCCGTCTGTCCCCAAGGATCCGCCCCCGAAGCTTCTTGGATGAGAATCCATCCGGGCCCGCCCCCTGCGGCTGTCCCCGAGCCTTCAGGCGCCAGCGGCAGAGGAGCCAAAATTGCTGCGGCAGGGGGAGGAGGAAGACAGGATCGGGGGGAAGGGGAAGGGAGGGAGGGGGATGGGGAATCGCCCTTCACTGGCACCGAGGCCCCAGACCTCCAGAGGATCCCTGGGGCCCCGAGGCTCCGTCTCAAAAGATATTGTGTTGCATGACAAAACAAATCAGCAAACGGTCTTAAACGCGCATGAAGTGAAGTTAACCATGCATACAATATGCATAATACATTATACTCATGCACTGGATTGTCTGGGCCCCTCTCTGGGGATGCGAGCGCAACGAGGAGGGGGGTCCACCCGGTTTTGCTACGCGCCCCCGCCCCGCATAGCCAACTTGAAAGGGAGCCTGGGCGACCGTGCCTTCTTGAAACTTGCTCAGGGGAGCGGGCGTGGGGTGCGTGGCGCAAAAACATATCCCAAGTGGGGTGTCTCCTAGACCCCCCTCCCCTCCGCGACACTTCACTAATGCTCCAGAAATGCCTTGGGGCTCGTTTTCAGTTTCAATCGCAACCTTCGTTTCGGTCGCGCCGCGCCGGTAGCCTTCTGTGGTGCGAGATTCGGACCTCTTCCCAGACTTTCTCGCGCGCTGGATCTCCCTCGCCTTCCACCGCCTCGTGGCGCCATGCCCTCCGCTAAGGGGGCCGCGGTGACCCCGGTGAAGGGGGCCGCCAGGCGCCGTCCCGAGCCCGCGGCACCCGTCGAGGCGCGCGTGCCTGGCGGCCCCGCGAAATGCCAGAGGTGCACCGTCTGCTTGGCTTGCAGGGCGAGTGGCAAGGACGCCCGAGGGGCGACCCCCCCCCCCCCCCCTGATGTGCGTGTGTGTATGTGTGTGTGTATATGTAAACAGCCCCATCCACTGGGCAAAAACTGAAGCCCCCTCGTCGCCCGCGTGCTGGAGACGCCTCGAAATTTTGGCATGGCAAGCCCTTCTGAGGCGTTAGTTGAACTTTCAAAACACACCACCGTGAAAGCGCGGCGGGCCAGGGCCGCTGGGCGAGGGGAGGGCGGGGATGGAAGGGGGTAGGGGACGAGGAAACCACATTGTTAGTAAGGATGATGCGATGACGTAAACGTGTATGATGGGTTGCGGCCCCCTCTGCGCTCTACCCCGCGTCCTGCGCCTGTCCAGGGGGCGCCGCCGCAGGTCGCCTCTTAAATTTAGTCTGCTCATCAAGTCCCCCGACCCCGCCGGGGCGCCCTTGCGCGCCCCTGCGCGCAGGTGGCCAGCGTAAATATCACCCGCCCCCCGCAGCGCCCCCCCCCGCCAGTTGGGTCGCTTCAGGGGGGCCGCGCGCCGCAATCACTTGCGTGGTCCTGTAGCGGGCGACCGTGGCGCTGTCGACCCCCGCCACCGCTAAATGGTAAATCAGTATCTTGACGCTGCAGGTGTCGTCGGATAGCTGCGGTGGGAAAGCGCCCCATCTCTGGAGGTAGTCATCGCATGCCGCGCCGTCGGAACATTGGCAGGAAACGCGCAAGCGCCCCGTGATCACGACGCACGCGTAACATTGGCGCCCATATACAAGGTCGCCAATTGCCATCATCATCTACATGTTCGCCCATGGCACCCGCGCATCTCGGGCGCGCGCCTTCCCGCAGGGTTGTGTTCGCGCGTGCGCGTGCACGTGCTTGCGCGCATGCGCATGCGTACACATGTATCGTTATGTATAAATGCGAGGCGGCGCGGCGCGGCGGCCGCGCGCGTCAAAAGCCTCCGACTCTAAGGGCCTGGAAGAGGGGGGGCGTGGGCGAGGGGGCGCTGCGCGCGCATATGCGACGCGCGCGCAGGCACATGCACGCGCGCGAAGGCGCAGGGGCGCGCGGGCACGCGCCGGAAAAAAAATGAATTGCATGAGGCATAGGGAAAGGAGGAGGGGCATAAGGCAGAGGCGCAGGCGGACGGCGTTCTGTTTGATTGCATCTAGCAAAGAAACGCACGCACGAGGAGGAGCGCGAAACACTCGGGCGGATCTTTCCTGTGCCACGGGCGGCCGTCGTTCCAGATCTGAGTGGCGCCATGGGCGGCCGCTCAGATCTAAAAGCTTTGAATGTTCGAGCTGAGCGGGCGCCGATCGCATCGGGGCGTGCTTCGATCAGCTCAGATGAGCTCAGCTGCCCTCGGACGCGACCAGGTCATCGGAACGTCATCGGGATGTGCTTCAATCCGCTCGATCGGCGCCCGCTCAGATCAGCCGGTCGGGCCCGTGGGCGGCGCCGTTCGATCCAAAAGCGCGAGCGGTGCCATGGGCGGCCATTCTGGGGCCGACCAGCTGATCGGCTCAGCTGCGCAGCCAGCGACAGCGGATCGGACCGCATTCTGCGAGTTGAGGGCGACCCCATTCATGCCGCACTCATTCACGGCTGAGGTTACAATGCGCGCGGATGAGGCTGTCCCGCGCCCCCCCCCCCTTCTCCCATGGCCTCCTGCGCTGCGCTCGCGCAGTTATTTGCCATGGGGCCCCGGGCTCCCGGGCGCTGCTTGCGCCCCCGCCTGCGATGACGAGCGCTGGTGCCGCTGCTGGCGCCGGGCGACGCAGCGCTACATGCAGGTGCCGTAGGTAGGAACCGCGGCAGGTGGCATGACGTAGCTTCTAGCGGCGGAAGGCGCAGCGCCGCGCGGCACGGCGTGGCCGATAGTTTTGGAAGGCGCGGCGCCGGACGTTGCGGCGCAGCTGCCAGCGCTACTGGGCGCCGCCCAGCAGCTGGAAAGCGCTGAACTGGCAGGCGGCGAGCTGCTGCCGCGAGCCGTCGGCGCCGCGCTCGAATCTGGAGAGGAGGCAGGCTGCTTCGCTCCGTCGGCGCGGCTGCGGTTGCGCAGCACCGCGCGGCCCGCGCGCCCCAGCCAGCGCTTTTGGGGAATCGCTGCGAGAGCCGGGCGCGCGCGCAGGGGGGGGGGCCCGACTCGGGAATTGATTATGGGGGCCCCGCAGCCACAATCCACCGCGCGCCGGGCATGCCCTCCTTGAACACCGCGGCCGTCTCGCCAGAAGAGAACCCATTTAGCGAAAAGCCAGCAATCTGCGTACTCAAAGCACTGCGTGAACATCTCAGCCGTTGTCCACGGTCCGCTCAGCGCGGCACCGCTGCCGGATTCCGTCGTAGCCCTGAAGGGTGATTCGATTCTCCGCTTTTATATTCCTCGCGCATTTCAACCACGCGGAACGGGCCACATACCAACAGGGCCACCTGCTTCATCATGTGGCCAAGTGTCCTGTCAACCTCCTGGCGCCAATTTTCACCGCGCATTCCGTTCGAGCATTGGCCCCCCCCCCCCAGGTAGCGACCCAAAGTGAAATTGGAGGCGAGGCCGTGAGTAGCGGATGTCAAAAACAGTGTGATGCATATCGCCGCAGTTGTGTCGGGGCGGTTTTCGCGTTGGTAGGATAGGGTCTGCATTGCGGTGTCTGGGGGGGTCTGCGCCGCGCTGTCTGGAAGGAGGCAGAGGAGGCGGCAGAGGAGGAGGAGGAGGAGGGAACATTGTTGGGAATACGTTGGATCCCAGTCCCGAGCCCCTGCTGGCGGGGCCCTCAGTCGAGCAGCATCTTCTGGTCTGGCCCCTCGGTCGAGCAACAATCATCGCGCTGCCATGGGTGGGCGCTGCTGTTGACTCACTGTTGCATGTTGTTGGGTCAACTGAGGTTGGAGCAGGGGTGTTGCCTGTGTATGTATGTGTGTATGTGCATGTGCATGCATGGGTGTATGTGTGTATGTATGCACATATATTCGTGTGGCTGCATATGCACGCGCGTATATGCGCATAGAAGCCGGAGGCTTCATGGGGGCGGCGGGCAAGGCGGGCGCGGGGGCGGCGATTATTTTTCCATTGCGCCATGCAAAGCACATGCACCGGTAGGGGCGCGAAGCGGCGGGGCGGATCTCCACGGTACCGTGGGCGGCCATTTCAAATCAAAACGGCGCCATGGGCGGCCGTCGTTCCCTTCGCCACTCTGCGCATGGAACATGTGCGATGGCTGCTCATGAACGACGCGCGCATGAGGGCCACCACTTGGAATCCGCCGCCCCTCTGTTCTGAGGCAGTTGTATAGCAGGGGGTACAGAGGACAAGAGCGTTTACACAGTTTGCAGGAATCAGCGAATTCAGTAGAAAGGTCGGGCTTGAAGTGCCTCGAAGAAAGCGCGCGCGCCCGAATCGCAAGCATGTGGCTATACGCGGACCAGGGGCAGTTTGCTTCTCGTCGTCGTCCTCGCCCTTGCTCGACTACACGTGAGAGTGATCTTTCGCCGGAGTGACTATTGGCGCGGGCCCACTGGGGCCCCCCGACCACCGTGCGCGATGCGACAGCACTGGCTTGCGCGCTTGCGTTTGGCCCCCCCGCAGCACCCAAAAAGCCGCGCACCAGAGGTCATTCTTGCCCAGGGTCACTCTTGCGCGTGGCCGACTTGCTCCGCCCCCCTCTTTTCTTCCCTGGCGTCGAAAGCGTCCGCGGCTCGGGCGGGAGAACGCCCCTTCCCACCTTCCCCATTATTCCTCTTTCCTCTTTGCCTCCCTGCTCCACAGTCCGTCGTCCTACCTCGTCTTCCTTCCTTGTTCGAAGAAGGGGGGTGAAGCCCCCGGCGCAGCGTGCCCGTATCAGCGGCGCGCCGCCCCGTGGATATCTGAGCACAGCGGCGCAACCAGTAAGAGGGGAT